ATACTGTAGAACATGTAAAAATTTCAAGACAATAAAACCATCGTAGGCGTATGTTAACAATAAAACCATCGTAGGCCTATGTTAACAATAAAACCATCATAGGCCTATGTTAACAATAAAACTATCGTAGGCATATGTTAACAATAAAACCATTGTAGCCTATGTTAACAATAAAACCATCGTAGGCCTATGTTAACAATAAAAACCATTGTAGGCCTATGTTAACAATAAAAACCATTGTAGGCCTATGTTAACAATAAAACCATTGTAGGCCTATGTTAACAATAAAACCATCGTAGGCCTATGTTAACAATAAAACCATCGTAGGCCTATGTTAACAATAAAAGCACCGCAGGCCTGTGTTATCTGTAGAACTGGTAATTCCTGTTATAAAAGGAAAACTTGAGAATTTAATTCTGAAGTCTAACTTAAGCATTCTTTCCTACAAGTGACAAAGGTATTGTAATTTCATCATATTTAGTGAAAGTCTGACTTTTATACTCCCAGCTGTAACCGAGAGCTTGATCTTTAAGGGATCTAACTCCTGATGAACTAAACAGATTTTATTATTTTCTAATTTTTGTTGGTTGATAGAATGCACTCGTCTAGGAAGTTTTGGACAATATCTCAAGTTGCTATTGTAGATCTAACTAATATAACATTCCAAACAGCACTTATTTACATTTTAAATCAATTAAACTTCCCAGTTCAACTGAGCTACAGATAATAATTACCTCGCAAATTCAATTTTTTTAGAACACGTGTTTTCCCAGCATTTATACAGAGCAAAAACTGTAGTAACACACGTCTACTGTGGAAATAAACAGGTATTTGATATATTTTTTGTTGTAGCATAGTTCTTTCATAGGACAAACACTACCACATGGCTGAAACCTAGGGCTAGCAAGTTAGTCTAGATCTGTATCTAAGTTGATATCAGTATCAAACTGATGATGCATATGGACACATCATGATTTATTTTCTATCTAAGCCTAAATCTAGTGTTTGGATAATGAAAACTGTTATAAAAAAATTAGTAGTTAGATACTATAAGTACTTAACTTTTGTTTTATGCATAATCAGTTCAGAGTTTAACCAGAATTTTGGTAATTTTCAGCTCATTGCACACTAAAATTATCAAACTTGCAAGTAAAGTAGTTAAAATTCCAGGACTTTTTAAGTTTTATAAAAAAAATTCCTACATTTTTTCAAGAGTGACAAAATGGAACTTTCACCTTTATCATAACCTTACACTAGATCAGGGATTCCCAACCTTTTTGTTCCTCTGTACCCCTCGGCATTCTCTCCCAAAGCACTAATGGAGGGAGGAGAGCTTGCCCAGTTGACTGATCCCTAGTTTATCAACTGATTTATAACGAGGGTGTTCTATATTGCTTATGTTCTACATTACTTATTGAAAACATGCATTATAATGTAGCACAGCAATAACATCACAATGTTCATCATGATCACAACTTTTTGTCTAAAGAGCATATATTTAAGTGAGCCAGTTTGTCTGACTGTAGATTAAAACACCATATAAAGTGTAAACCACAGTTATACTCTCAGACCCCTATGTACCCCCTGAGAAGTGCAAATGTACCCCTGGGGGTACATGTACCAAAGGTTGGAATTGTCTGCACTAGATGGTAACAACATACACTCCGTGTGTGTGGGAGCCTCACTGATGAATTGACCAGAAACTATACATGGTTGTTTTTGTTATTATTTCTAATTAACTGCATTTTATATTTAAAATACCTTCTTGAAATGTTACTGAACAAGCCCTCTGGTGGACAAAGAAATGACACTCCCACAGCAGGACTAACTGGATTAAAATTGAAGGTAACAAGATTGTTCGGAGCTGTAAAGCTGAATTCCTTAGGTGCAAAGGAAGCTTTTTTTGGTGGCTTCTTAATGCAGCTGATGTCTGCTGGAAATGGTGTCTCTGGCAACGGAGAAGGCCCAGCTGGTAAATCACACAGTCTTTCTTCGGACCTTTATTTCCAATTTTACCTAGTTTAAAAAGCAAAATATGTCTTTTTAGCAATAAGTTATTAAGTAAATAATAATTTAACAGTTTGTAAATACATGCAATATGTACATAATTTTGGATTGGAGTTTTAATCAAATTTTAACAACAATTATTCTGGAGCAGAAACAATTTTAAATTGTTAAACTAATACATAAGTCTGTGAAGAAGTTGACAAAAAAAGAGTTTATTACACTCTGTCAGTACCTTACAAAATGAGTTTAGGTCTAAATACAGAGAGGTGAGAAATTCAGAAGCATCCTTCTCAAGCACAAAAAAGGAAATAAAATATACAAATTGTTAAAGTTACATACAGGTTAAAATATCTGTTCAAAAGTCATAAAAAGTTATTAAACTGGGCAGAAATGTCCAAATTTTTATTATTTTTACAAATTAATTGAATTGTTTTCTAGCTAATTAAATGTCCTAACTGTTATTATTTTTACATATTAGATGAATTGTTTTTACTAAGGCACTAAACAACAACATTATTATTGATGTTGTTTGGAGAGAACTGACGCTGTTTATAGGTGTTATTATCAGCTGGTTGTGATCATGGATTTATTACACAGTGAGAACTATCATGTCACGTTAAAAATTGTGACACAAGAATGACAGAGAGAGAGAGAAGGAAAAAGTGCTTTGGAGCTTCAAGTATTTTCCTCACAAAATAAAAGCATGAATAAGCTCTAACTATGAATATTTAAATTGTGTTTCAGACAATCACAACGAGTTTCCGATAGCTCCTACCAAAAAAAACAACCAATATTTTATTTCTTTAACTTCGAACATTAAAATTATGGTATTCTTTATTATTAAACTGATAAAATCGATCTTTGTTACATATACTTTCAAAGAACTGGTAACCTAACCAGAATAAACTCCTCTTTTTAGAAGTATTTTCTATTTCTGTTGTTAAATACGATCAGTTTAGGTTTGAAACAAGGTTAATAACTACAAATATAAAGCAGTAATATATAACTGTAGAAGGATGTTGACTTTATTAACCTTTCAGAGGATCAGGTTTCCCTAACGAGTTCTTGAAATAGAAAAGAATGTTGGAATACATATCAATTAATACTGCAATTTTTCATTTGTTTTCTTTGAAAGGTTTAATAATTTTCCCCCAAAATGCAGTAGTTCATATATGTAGGCTACTCGCTCCTCATTTTAGATGAACAGTTGGTGAACATTATTTGTTTCATTGATACATATTCAAAGAATTCTTCCATAAAATAAAACATAGTTTCAGATGTAGAAATATCATGACCACTAAGCTTTACACTTTATCTTTAAACACACAAAAGAAAACTGACCACTAGAAGACTGGCCTGTTTCTCGAGTTCTCGTCTCTTCAGATTTCTGAGTTTTCAGATGACCTGCTTTGGATCTAGTTATTGGACCACTCAGGAGAGGGAAGTGAGCCCTTGTTTCTGCTTGTTTTGCAGCCACCACCTTTCTTGTTGTGGAGATTGGCTTTGTGTGGGAAGGTTGAGTGGACTTAACAGACGTTCCAGTAGTTCGAGTCCGAAGATTTGTTGTCTGTTGTGAAGGTTTGGTCTGTGTCAGGTTAGCAGACTAAATATAGTAAGAATCAGAGTGATCAATAATAAAAAATCAAAATAACTCATTCCTTACTAAGCATGTGTAAAATAATGTTTACTCAAATTAATAGAAATGCTCCATAAAGATCACATTCTTTGCTTTATATCTTATGTTGTAATTGTTCAACTTCATTTAAACTAAAAGGATTAGACTCTATGTATATATGTTAATACCCTTCTTACGGTGACTTGAAAATACAGGTCAAAGTTCACATTACTTTCACTAGTAATTGTATTAATTTTTAAATCCCAGGTGTCACTTTCAAGGAACTGTCTAATTTGTAAAGCAGTACGTGTCTGAATACCATGTCAATACAAAGTATATAACAATTACAATAAGGCAGTTAATGACTGTAAGGTTCTACATTTTTGAATGGCCAAACTTATATCTTGAACAGATATAACGATATCAATATTTTATATGTTAATGATCAGTTCAGAAGACACGGTTTTCTTCAAATGTTGACATATTGCTAAGTTTGGCATGTTCAATTCAAATGCAATACAGTATCGCAATTAATTCGGTTACATCGCTTAGAGTTGCATAAGCTGATCAAAATTACAATTAAATAAAATAACTTCAAGAAAATAATCAACTGATCAAAATTAAAGATTCTGATTATTGCAAACATATAATTAAAATATTGCCATTATGACATAATTTAAAACATATATAATGGCTTCATGGGCCACTGCTGGTGCCAGAGAGCCTTAGTGGTTTCATCATAACTTCAAAACACATATAATGGCTTCATGGGCCACTGCTGGTGCCAGAGAGCCTTAGTGGTTTCATCATAACTTCAAAACGTATATAATGGCTTCATGGGCCACTGCTGGAAGGATGAGCTTGGTTAGCGGCAACAGGAATCAAACCCATGACCCTAGATTTGTGAGGCAACTACCCTAATTAATCACTGAGCCACACTGGCCTGAAGTTGAACAAACTCGAATTAAGTTAAAAAACAGTACTGAGAAAAAGAAACCATTAAGGCTCTCTGGCACCATCTCTAATTTTGAATTGCCTACAAGAGGGAAGGAAACCAATTAGCAACACCCACTGCCAACTTTTTAACCAATGAATAACTGGATTAATCTTTGACACGAGACAGTTATTATTAACTATTACTGTTTCCATTGACACATGATGGTACATATATATCCTGCTTGCACATAACTCACCAATGTGAGGGTGTGGTCTAGTTGCCCTTGGTTAAATAACTAGCCACAGTGACAACTGTTGTTCAGGTTTACCTTGCTTGGACTAAACTAGCTTTAACTTAATATATTGTCTATTCAATACAAGCTACAATTATAATGTGGAAGATCGGGTTAATAAACAGTTACAGCAAGTTAGCATTTATTGTTCTTTATTTGAATGGGGGAGTGACTGCTGAACAACAGTCTAACAGTATCACAAAGACGATAACCTACTTACACAAACAGAACTCTTATTTCACCACGACTAGCTCTAGCTAGACAGGAAGCACTGAAAATGTTAATTATAGTATTTTGGCAC